AACGTCGACGACTTCATCGACTTTGGCAATGGATCCTCCGATGAAGATGAGGACATGGATGATGATGCCATGGTCTCCCCAATGGCCGCTCCCTTTGCCAAGTCCATGGGCACACCTACTCCCACCCGCAAGTCTGAGTCGCAACCAACCAACAACGAAGAGCGCTTCCTCAATCACCTGGACAAGGGTATTGTCACTGCCTTCCGTCGCAACCATAACCGCTACCAGGCGCTCCTCCGCCTCCCCCAACACCGCGAGTTCATGCCCGCAAACTCTCCCGCACGTCCTGCCAGTGTCTTCCGACATGCCAAGAACAACGACCAGCGAACTCCCACCCGCAAGCGCAAATCGAGCAGCATTGCAGGTGGCGAGGCTGTGCGACGCAAGTTGATGGATGCCCAGCAACGTCGCTCTCAGCTCCCCATCCCAGCACCTCTCTGAGGTCTCACGATTGCACGACTTTTGGATTTCCACCAAGATCATATGATAACCACGGCCACAATTTATTCTATCTGTTTCTAGTCGCTGGCAGACTTTCCTATTGGTGTCTTGTGCCTTTGACCCTGTCGACCTCGCGTTGAGCGCACAGGCTCTTCGCTCTGGTCATATTACATCTTGCCACTTAATGTGTTGTGGAGATCACTCTATCCTTTTAATGATTGAGGTAGATCCGCGGTGCACATTGAGTTGGCTTGGGAAAGATCGATGTTTCTTCTTAGAACACAAAAGCGATCCATTTCTGATATTTGATTATCTTTCCAGTCATTCCTTTTTTTTTTTTCTCTTCATCATCATGTCATATCTATTGACTAGCCATTTTTCTCCCTCGCCTGTCGCGGGGGATTGGGATACCTTGGATTTCTGGAGTTGAAAACTTGCTGGTTTTTGCGTTTTAACGAGCGATGGATGATTTAGTTGCTGTTTGCATTTACCTTTACCAATATCAAAAACATTCGAAACTTATATTACATTCTCTCGTACTCGTTAATCATTTGATATTAAGCCTCTAATGAAGCTCAGACCTTGCGGTGTACCCACCCCAGCTCCGGACCCACCTAAACCTTATTCAAGTAGATCTCCCATAGTCCGCAATTAGCATCATTTCTCTATCCCATACCATTCCTGCTGTCCCCTCCGGTGTTATTGTACAAAACATAAGCACTAGGTAAAAATAGAAGCGGAACCACAAGGAAGGAAGCTTAAAAAAACAAAGTGTCATTAGAAACTTCTTCGGGCAACAGAGAGCTATCTCTGTGAAAAGGTTCCAAAAATTGGCTCAAGGAGTTGCGTGGAGGAGATGAGAACAGAGCCCCTTGGTTCAGCTCGTGATGGACAGTGGAGAACTCAGGAAAGTATAGTATTTATCCACAGAGGTGAGGGTAGAACAGCCCGATCGGTTCCTAAGGGAGGTCCTTTCAGGCTATCCGCCCTATATGCTTCGTGCCATTGAACTAGGACCGAGGTCCTAACCTAGTTTCAGCTTTAACTGGACCGCATCAAAGATGAAATCAGTGCCTCGGGGTACGTCTTTCCTTCACTGGACAATAGCACCCGTATGTTGAAGTATGGACCTGGAGCTGAAGAAGTTCAAAGAGTTGTTGAATGTCCAGGGAACCATGGAGTGCAATGCGGGCCTGGAATGTTGAAGAAGGAAGAGAGAAAGAATAAGAGAGAGAAGTGGGAGAGAAGTGGGAGGGGAAGGTACCTAAACACCTGCTCGGAGAGGTACATGGGTACTTCACTAGCCTTACATGGTGTGTATCTAGTAGCCATTGACATCAAGACCCAATGATGCTATAGCCCCCATCACTAATGCTGAGAGTGACTTCGTCTACTGCTGACCTTTTATTTCAAGATTGCCACCGTTTTAAGCAAAAGCAAATGAGAGTACTCTGTCCGAGGGAACCAATCCGTCGGCGAGAAATGCAGGTGTATCTTTGAGAAGGGATTTTAGGTCGATGCACTCCAATGGGAGGCTATCGCTGGTGTTGAAATGGGTTGACCATAATTGATAGCCCGCACGGAGTGAGTACCCAAAGGCTTATTTGCTTGGGCGAAGGGCGTCTTCCATGTTTAATGTATAGATATTGGAATGTTGTCGCGGGAGAGTGAAGTGGGACTAGATCGTACTGCTCAATTGGAGGCTCGTTCTGTTCACCGCTAGTTGGTGCATTTTGTATATTCATTTTGATATCTGTCAAGAAAATCTGCGATGAACGTTACTTCTTTTTGTTCTATTTGAATTTGCAAGTATTTCACGGTGGTGTCTAGAATATAAATTCTCTAGTGTAAGAGGTCAAGTTAGTAGTCAAGGGTTTCGCATGAGCTTATTGCGGATTTTCCTATACAGGTAGTTCATCTACCAAGGAAAACAAACGTAAACAACTTTAAGTCTGTCGACTGGGATACTATATTCCACGTAAGAATGTTTAGTTTCGAGAGGAGAATTGTACTTTCTCATCTTCCAAAAGCAGTGCGCATTGATCCCACGTAGTATAGAAGTACCAGTTAAAGAAGGCCATGGGTCTTTGACTGTTTAGTCTTCCGTCCTGAATGGAAGTAAACGCCACATTTCTCGTAGTTAAGTGCGCTACCCCGTACTCCATGGACATTTGCAATGACGTTCTACCAATCGGATAATGACCTGATATAGTTATACGATGCTATGCGAGTATACCTACAAAAACTATTGAGTTCCTACTGATTCCCACTATGTTGTCAAATATGAATACATACTCCGTAATCATGTAGTATTAATATACTCTACAAGTGACTGAATATCCTCGGAGTACTCCGTATGCAAGGGTTTTTAGTCAGGACTATCGGACGCCCTACGGTTAACCATATGTTTAGAATAAATTGTCAAGGGACATATTGCCCCTAAATACAGAGCACGGAGTAGCTAGACATAATAGGAAGTCTAGACAAGCCTTGGCATCGGAGGAACACCGCCTGGGCAAGAAATATAAAATGCAACCTGGGCGCAGATGGTTCTCGTGTAGCATTTGCACAGTAACATTGAGGCGAATATATTAATATTAACACCTCAGGTTTTACAAATTAATACAATTGTCTGGACTCCGACAGTTGCAAGGGGGTACAGCGTAGTAGTATTCCCGTGGCACTAAAGTTCTCATTCGTGGGTATTTTTAGTTGAGCGTTTCACGTTAACCCGAATTTAAGCCTGCAGACAAAGTCATCGTCCGACGCGCCGCAAGAGATTATTTGCATTTCTGTTTTCATTTCCAGAAACTAAATAAATAAATAAATAGAACGTTTGCTATGGAACATGGCTGAAAGAATGGAATATCAACACTTCTGCCTCTCAAAGCCAAAGTCATACAATTCCTGTCTTTTGCGGAGTAATAAGTCAGGGAGGAGTACAAGCTAAGCTAGATATACCTCAGGACTTTATTTGGCTTTGGATCGGAAATGTGATAGTAATGGCATTTCATGTTTAGAGGAACCCCTCAAGCTGTTGAGGCAACCCCACTAGTCTTCTGCTCTAGACAGGTTCGTTGGCGCTCGGCTTTTTTAGCAGGGTCCATATAAATCAGTCAAGAGGTGAGACGGAGCGTTCAGGTACCCGCCACTAGCATCTCACTGTTCGACCTTGCAGGGGGTTACCCCTGGGAAAAAAGATAAAAATAAAAAAAAAGAAGTCGATTTTGCGTGACATCCAAGCAGCACCGTTAGCCCCAAAGTAGTACTTTATGTCCCTTCTCTGATTGGTCAACCCCGGCGCTTCGAAGGCGCATGAAAGGACTTGTATACTTGGAAAGGAAAAGATTATGAATATCAATAATAAGCACATATGGAATCACCACGCAGAAAGTGGGCGACAAATGGGCGAGGCGCCAGGGTTTTTTTTATTTTTATTTTTTCTCTTTTTTCTTACCGGTCGCATTATTTGTTACTCAAATTTTTTTGGAACTTGAATCTACACCGAATCGGAAATAGTTGGTTTCGGTTAAAGGTGAGTTTAAGCCACTAAAAATATGAGGAGATGAAAGACCCTATATCAAAGAACTGCACGTGGATTCCGGTACCCTACCTGGACTCTATACCTGGACTTTACCCTCAACACTTTCCTCTCGACCCTCGGCCATATGCAAGTTTCCGTGCCGATCAAGCGCCTAATATTCATACACTATTTTTACTCGAGGATGCTTATTGGCTGGTCATCAATTAATGTCGACTGATCTCACAGTCACATCCCACGGATGGATGAACCGATGCTAAATGCGATTGGTCCCCGGCAAGCGCCTTGGTCAACGGCCCCAGTCTGCAATCCCTGAGTGGCTCTTCTCCAGCTTCTGCAGGCTGTTCCTGCACTAATCGGCGCCGAGTTCTAGATGGATCCTTAAGCTCGCCCTCTTTTCAGCCACTACCGTTTCATCTGTACCTTCAGATACCTGCCGATTGGAGAGAGGTTCGCTTTTCTCTGACGAAATGTCTTACCAGGGTCCTTGACGCCAGGATATTTTGGGTCAGTAGAAAAATGCTTGCTAGCTGCAGCCAAACCTTTGTCTGCAGAGGTTCATGGCATAGCCTGCGTTGGTCGATTGTTTAAAGACCCCGGCTCTACCCATATCCTGCACCTCTTTCATTCTCGTCATTGTTTGATTTCCTTTTAGCTTTTTTGCCCATCTTGGTTCGTCCCCAACCAAGGACGCTCGTTCAGGGATACGCACTTGCTTATCCCACCACCCTCTTTCGTTTGATATTGGTTCAGTTTCATTGATGACTTTTCTTTATTGTCGCCGATCAACAATACTAATAGAAATTACAACCTTTGCTGCCTATACAATTGTGGCTTTTATCACCATATCCATTGAGGTCTAGCTTTCTGTATCGCAGCCTATCCAGTCCTGACCTTTATATCACTCCATTTTGTTTCTTTCATCCATACTTCTTCTCTTTTCTTCTTTCTTCCCCTTCTATTCTATCTTCCTTTCGCGTCCCATTTTCCCGTCACTCGTTGTCGTTATCCTTCCACTATGAAGGTCATTTCGGCAATTGCGTTTTTCTCTCTTCTGGCCTCTGGTCAAGCCACTGGATCAGTATGCCTCAACTCACATCCTGTCATCTTTGATATACAATCTAACTCGAACCGTTTTAGTACTGGGGATCTGAGAAATACTACTCCAGCCCGGGTAGATCACCTAACAAGTGTAACGAGTACCAGAGCAAGGGCTTCAGCTGGACTGACCTCGCTGCTGGCTCTTTCTCCGAGTATGGTGGCTTCTCTTTCTCTGGTTTCACTTGCGGCAATGGATTTGGTTCTAGCCTCGGCAAGCGTGGTGTACGTAATGCACGCCTCTCTTTCATCTGCAGGTACTGATGATGACTCTAGACCCAGAAATGTATCTCCGGTACCGTCTCCAAAGGTAGCTCCTCTAGCTCCAGGGCTAGTTCCAGCTCCCAAAGCTCCGGTTCTTCGGCTCCGTCATTTTCCTGTGGCTCAGATGAGAGTGGCTTCACTGTGACCAACTTTCACGTTGCCACCGAGAAGGATACCGAATTGGACATCATCTATAGCATGCCTGATGGCTCGACTTGCAAGAACACCGCTTCCTGCAACTCAGCTGGTACTGTGGTCACCAACGACCAGTGTGGTGGTGCTAAGTCTGTTCACTTCGAGCTTCCCGACGATAGTGAACATGAGAGCTGCGGTTTCGGCATCTACAGTGTTGGCTTTGACTGCACTCCTGGTTCCACAACCACTGCGCCTATCATTGCCACCACTGCTCATGTTACCAGAGTTCCATATGGACGGAGATCTGTGTCTGTTGGCTCTGGCTCCGTCGTGCCTCCAGTCTCTGTTCCAGGCCCTGTTGTGGTCCCAACCACCACCTCAGCGGTGAGCACACCTCTTCAGATGACTACATCGACTGTGTTTACCACCAGTTTGATCACTATCACTAGCTGTGCTCCGACTGTTACCGATTGCCCTGCTGGATCAGGCTCAACCACTGTGGTAACTTCTACCATCGCTCTTTCCACCACAGTCTGCCCCGTCACAGAGACTGCTCCTGTCGGGGAAACTACTTCTGCTGCAGAGACCAGTCCTGTTGTGGATACCACTACTGTCGCTACAACCTCGCCATCCGTGCCTGCCGTGACCAGCCCGACCGGTGTTCTACCTGTCAGCTCATCGGCTGGTGTTCCTCCTTCTAGTGGTACATCTATTCCTACATCTTCGGTTCCGGCTTCTTCTGTTTCCACCACTACCCCCGCTGGAACTTCCGCCCTTTCCACCCCGTTGATCACCACTCCAGTCCAAATGACTACCTCAACCGTGTACACGACCAGCGAGGTCACCATTACCAGCTGTGCCCCTGAGGTCGTGAGCTGTCCAGCGGACTCGACCACAGTCGTGACTTCGACTATTCCGATCTCGACCACTGTGTGTCCCGTCACTGAGACTACTGTTGCCGCTACTAGCTCATTATCTGTTTCCGTTGTACCCAGCCCGAGCGGTGTTCTCCCTATTAGCTCATCTGCTGGAGTTCCTCCTTCTAGTAACACATCCATTCCTATATCTTCGATTTCGGCTTCCTCTTCTTCTAGTTCCTCCACTACCCCCGGTGGAACTTCTGCCGCGTCCACCCCGTTGATCACCACTCCAGTCCAAATGACTACCTCGACCGTGTACACGACCAGCGAAGTCACCATTACCAGCTGTGCCCCCGAGGTCGTGAGCTGTCCAGCGGACTCGACCACAGTAGTGACTTCGACAATCCCTATCTCGACTACTGTGTGTCCCGTCACTGAGACTACTGTTGCCGCTACTAGCTCATTATCTGTTTCCTTTGTACCCGGCCCGAGCGGTGTTCTCCCTGTTAGCTCATCTGCTGGAGTTCCTCCTTCTAATGGTACATCGGTTCCTTTATCCTCGATTTCGGCTTCTTCTATCTCGTCTATCACGACTGAGACCCCAGTCGGAACTTCCGCCGCTTCCACCCCGTTGATCACCACACCAGTCCAGATGACTACCTCAACCGTGTATACCACCAGCGAGGTTACTATCACTAGCTGTGCCCCTGACGTTGTGAGCTGCCCAGCGGACTCGACCACAGTAGTGACTTCCACTATCCCTATCTCAACTACTGTATGTCCCGTTACTGAGACTGCTACAACTGATGTCGGCTCCACACCTCTGCTTACAGGCACAAGCCCAAGCGGTGTCTTGCCTATTAGCTCCCCGGTCGGATCTTCTACCGCTTCAACCCCGTTGATCACCACTCCAGCCCAGATGACTACCTCAACCGTGTACACTACCAGTGAGGTCACTATTACTAGCTGTGCCCCCGATGTTGTGAGCTGCCCAGCGGACTCGACCACAGTCGTGACTTCGACAATCCCTATCTCGACTACTGTGTGTCCTGTCACAGAGACTGCCACAACTGATGTCACCTCCACACCTCTGCTTACAGGCACAAGCCCAAGCGGCGTCCTGCCCGTGAGCTCCCCGGCTGGATCAACTCCTACTAGTGGCACTTCAGTTGTTTCCACGTCGGTCGGGACCTCCTCAGCTCCTGGTGTGACCTCCTCGGTTCCCGACGTTACCTCCGATGCCTCGTCCCCTACCCCCTCGTCTCCTGTCAGTACTACCCCCGCTCCTGGAGAGGATACCACCACTGTCGTTACTTGGGAGACTGTAACCACTTGCCCGGTGACTAGCACTGTTACCTCCGGTAGCTCAACTTTCGTGACTACCTCAAGTACCATTTCAACTGTTACTTTGACTACTGTCTCTACAATCTGCACCCAGTGCTCGGCTACCGCTACCTCTGTTGCTGGTCAGAGCACCGTTGCCCCATCTGGTACGTCCGAGGCTTCGAGCACTGGGCCATCCGGTACGCCGGAAGGATCAAGCCCTGTCTTTTCCACAACCGCAGAGGCCTCTAGTCCCCTCCCCAGCGGCCCCGATGTTACCAGCATGGTCCCCTCTAGCGTGGGTGCTGAAACCACACCTGCGATTCCCCAAGGTTCGACTGCCACGGTTATAACTTATGTAACTGAGACCACCTGTCCTGTGACTGCCACTATCACTTCTGGATCATCGACATTCGTCACGACATCCAACACAGTTTCAACCGTTACGTTGACGTCCACTTCCACTCTTCCCAGCTCTGTGGCTGCCGGAAGCACACCTGCTCCCTCTGAGACAAGTGTCGCCTCCACCGCCCCTACGGGTCCCGCTGTCACCAGTATCATTTCATCTAGCATTAGCATCAGCTCTACACCCACTGTTCCCGAGGGTGAGACTACAACCGTTGTAACTTACGTGACCGAAACCACCTGCCCTGTGACTGCGACTATCACTTCTGGCTCGTCGACTTTCGTCACGACATCTAGCACAGTGTCAACTGTTACCCTGACCTCCACTTCTAACCTTCCCAGCTCTGTTGCTGCCGGAAGCACTCCTGCTCCCTCTGGGACGGAAGTTGCCCCCGCTACTGCTCCTACGGGTCCCGCTATCACCAGTGTCTTTTCATCTAGCGTCAGCGTCAGCTCTACGCCCACTGTTCCCGAGGGTGAGACTACAACCGTTGTGACGTATGTAACTGAGACCACCTGCCCTGTGACTGCCACTATCACTTCTGGATCGTCAACTTTCGTCACGACGTCTAGCACAGTTTCAACTGTTACCCTGACCTCCACTTCCCTTCCAAGCTCTGTTGCTGCCGGAAGCACTCCCGCTCCCTCTGAGACAGGTGTCGCCTCCACTACTGCTCCTACGGGTCCCGCTATCACCAGTGTCTTTTCATCTAGCTTCAGCGTCAGCTCTACGCTCACCATTCCGGAGGGTGCCACTACTACCCTTGTGACTTACGTGACCGAGACAACCTGTCCCGTGACCAACACCGTCACTTCAGGTTCTTCCACCTTCGTAACCACATCCAACACAATCTCTACAGTGACCCTCACCTCCGTCTCAACTATCTGTACCCAATGCGCCACCACTGCTACTGCTGCCACCGAGGCCAATTCCCTTTCGACGGCCAGTAATACCCGAGCAGCCCCCACCGGTGTTTCCCCGGTATCGAGCCCAGCTCCCTCAGCTCCCTGCCCCAGTACCGTGCCCCAGTGTATCAACACCTGGCTCACCCTCACCCCCAAGTGCACATCCAACAGCGACGCCTCATGCTTCTGCCCCAACAGCGAGTTTACCAACAAAGTCATCTCCTGCATCCAAGCCTGGGGTGCCTCCAAGGAAGAGATCCAATCCGCCCTCTCCTACTTCACCGGTATCTGCGCTGCCTGGGTCCCTCAGAACCCAGGCATCGTGACCGCCATCCCCTCAACCATCACCCTAATCCCGACAGTCGCTCCTTCCGCGCCCCCGTCTAGCGTCGCCGGCGCCAGTGTCACCGCCAGCGCCGTCGTCCCTATCACCTCTGGCCCTACCGGCCCCTGCACAACAATCACCTATTCGACATACACCGTCACCGTGCCGCAGGTCAGCTTCGTGACAAACACCGGTACTAGCTCCGGTGCCGCCCCAACCATTGGTCTAGTCCCGGCTGGTCCTAGTGGCATTTCCCCAGCACACAGCGGCCGTGTTCCCCGCCCTGCATCGGCGACATGGTTGACCTCAAGCGGTTACCCATATGCCAGTCGAAGCCCGATCAGAAGCGCCTCTCCCAGCGCATCCCCGGTCTTCAACTCGGCCTCGAGCTTGTCAATTGCTTCCAGTCTGGTGCTGGCTTCTCTTGCTGCTTTCTTCAGCTTGGTGATGTAGATACGTTTCCCTGCAGATTAACCCACGAACACCCCGTGGTTTTCCTTTTCTTATCTTTTGTTTCTACAAATATGCACAGTGCGGATTGATTTCGTGGTTTTTCTTCTTGCTTGCTTGTCTTCGCGGCCCTGGAGTGGTTCGTCCTGGTTCTGAGGTGAACTATTGGCTGGGAATTGACGCAGATCGTCGGTCCTTAAGGGACTTCTTTGTATTTTATTTATTCACTCCCTAATTCAACGCGATAGACCTCGCCTTTTTTTTATTTTTTTTACGAATATCTGATTTTGTTATTTTCTGTTCTAAGCAGGTAGTTTTGTTTGACTCATAGTAAATACAGTCTTTAAGCCCTCTTGCATTCTAACATAACTAAGTTTGCATTTATATACCATTGATCCTTTCCCTTAAGTTCAAAAAAGTATGAGGAATGAAGAATAGAGATCGACGTTACCTAATTTGCCTTTGCTTTCTCCAACTTCTGCAGTTGTATTGACCTTCGGAATACTCCGACTCTTGCCCGACAGGCAAAGTCTCAAGCTATGAAAATCGTCAGGTAATGGAGACTGCTTCAGAATGTGCCCCTCGGGAGTCTAATCAACAGTCAGGTATTTAGCACAGTAGTAAAGTCTTTCGGTGGCTAAACTAACGGTATTGCTACCTACCCTGGATGTCCCCAGCAGGTATATCACTTCATTCAAGGGACATTTCGCCATCCACCCTTCATCACATATTCCCGAGTTATGACGGAATCTCCCCGATCTCAAAATTCGCCGTCTTTCCGCTGTGCACTTCGCTCTTTTTCCACGAAAGGTATATGGTTTCACATTTCAACACTCGATAGCTTTGTGTTGGACTGCAGGAGCGCATCGCTCACGGAGCACACATTGGCAGGGGTGGTCATTTTTCTGATTGACAATGTGCTTGTTCAGAACTTCTTTGCGCAATTATTAAACCAAGCTCGACCTTCGGATTCTTCGGTAGAATGACGAACGCAGGTCTGGTCACGGTGACTTCTTGGAGGCACTCGCACTCACATTCGAAACAAGGATACTGAGGTATGTTCTGATCTTCACAATCCTCCGGGACATCGGACAGCGCGATGATCTCGGATAGCATCGGAGGGGGAAGCTCGTTGTTACTCGCTAGTCGTGAGACTACCATATCGAGATTGTTGGGCAGAAACGGCGACTGTATATTTTGGGTCCATTGATTAAAAAATGGGCCGCATGGCCTCGATATAAATACTGGTCACGAACCTGGTATACTTATATATTATCGTATGCGCGTATGGAACCAACATCCCCTCGGATGAGATAACAGCGAGAATGGATATTTCGCCTAGTCAGAATATGCAAAGAAACCATATGGGTTGATGTGATAAATCTAGGATATATATGGCACGGCAAGAGAGGGCAGAACTGAATGATGGAGAATACAAGATCAAGATTGAGGAGGATGTTTATATAGTTATGATTGTATATTAGCAAACACTGCAAACAAATATATGTAGACAAGCAACCTGATATTGGCTTGGTCAAAGCAGGCTTTGTGTCTAGAACTTATGGATATTAGAAGGACCAAGGTGAGAAGGCCGGTGTATGTTTCATGTTGCCAAACATATCAACATCTTGTCGAGGAGATTGGCTACCTTAGTTGATGTCGACAATTATCCCCAATTGTACGTAAAAAAGTCATGTGCTTACTACATTCATATACATCCAAAAGACATCTAGTTTCCAAGCGGCAGGTCCATGGTCCCACGAGAAGAATGCGGCTACCAATGCCTCGTTAGGGTTGATTGGGTGTGGAGATGACGCCACACACGAACGCTCAATGATTACTATCTAGAAGAGTGTGTTTGAAAATCCCTCTTCCGTTTTCTATGGGAATTCTAGCTACCTAGGTTGTCTTGATGTGGAGAGCCTGTTCATCTGGGTTCAGGGATTCTCGCTCAATCCAGGCATGAACACAAGAGGTTGACCGATTCAATTGATTTTATCGTTTTGCCGGGTCATTTTCAACTTTTTTTTTTTTTTCCCTTTTCTCGTGACAAATTGTGTGATGTTCATAAGTATATTTGGCGTGCCCAAATATGAAGAGATTTCTGTAAACAGAAACAAATGACGGCCCCATGTCGTCTCGAAGGATAAAGTCTTTCGTCACAGAATAAAAGCTCGACCGCGTTCTCGAAGGCATAGGAAGTGACAGGTGGAATCATGTTCGGCACAACAATTAGCGGGCCAGACCCTCGTGGCTTTCAAGCCACTCCATGTAATCCTTGATTCCTTCCTTGATGCCGCGAAAACGCAGCACAGAGCCAGACCGGCGAAGCTTCGAGATATCAGCGCAGGTGTGGCTCTGGTATTTGCCTTTCAGTTCGGCTGGGAATGGAATGAACTTAATGTAGCCCTCCGGATTACCGAAGTAGCTGACGACTTCAGTAGCGACGTCGTTGAAGCTGCTGGCAACACCAGTGCCGACGTTGTAAATGCCGTTGATCTCCGGGTGGTCGAGGAACCAACAGTTCAGGCGGGCAACGTCCTGAACGTGAACGAAGTCGCGCTTCTGCTGTCCAGCTTCGACCCCGGCGTATTCCCCGAAGAGCTCAATTGCCTTGAATGACTTGCGCTTTTCGTAGAACTGGTAAACGGTGCTTGGGATTGTATCGCGGTTTTGTTCTCCGGGTCCATAGACGTTGAACAGACGGAGTCCTGCAATTTGGGGAGAGCGCAAGTCGGTGTTCTTGACGACATACTGATCAAATAGCATCTTCGAATATCCATAGACGTTCAGAGGGGCTTCTTGGAAGTCTCCCTCGGCGAAGGCAGTGTTGTTTCCATAGACAGCAGCGGATGAGGCGTAGATGAAGCGAACGCCCTGGTCCTTGCACCAATGGAAGAGCTCCTTGGAGTAGGTAAAGTTGGAGTCAAGTATCTTCTTGCCGTTGGTCTCGGTGATGGAGGAGCTTGCACCATAGTGAAAGATGACGCGAGGACGGTGGGCAAAGGTTTTGGTCCGAATCGCTTCACGGAAGGCAGTCGCATCTATGTAGTCAGCTACCTTGCAGTTGACAAGGTTGCGGAACTTGGATCCATCGGTCATGTCGTCGACAACCACGACATTGGTCACACCACGGTTGTTCAACTCCTTGACGATATTCGAACCGACGAAGCCGGCACCACCGGTGACAACAATCATTTTGGTTCGATTTGGAATGGAAAGGGTGATAAATATGGAAGAAGAAAGAGGAAGAGGAAGTTCAAGTTGAGAAGTCAGTGATGGGGGAGATGTTCATGGCTGAGAAGGAGCGACCAAGGTGAACATCCTTCTTTGGATGCAAGTCCAGGTGTTTGATAAATTGGACAGAAAAGGAAGCTTCGACTTTTGTTGTTTTACTCTTGTATAGGGTGATATATTACGCATCCTAATAATTGACTCCTAGACTTTAACGTTCTCGTCGCCCTATTCTCACATAAAATGAGGCTATAGATGAGAGTAATAAGAAACACTTATAAATTAAGTACATTGAAGGACTCACTTTGAATTGATTTCCTTTAAGCATAAAGCCTATTTCCTTTTTTCTTTTTTTTAAAATAATAATAATAATAATAATAATAATCTGGACTTCAATTATTCGAATAGATTCTCGTGATATTTATTGATCAGGTACCTCAAAACTCACCTTTTGACGTTCATAAACATGGATTATCCCTTCCCTCTTCTAGAACCACTTAAAAATCAAAATAGGAGAAAAAACCCCCCCCGATATATCGGCATTTCAATCCCGGCAATTATCCTAGGGCACAGCTACGGCCCTACTTCGAAGGGCATCCGGAACGCCATTCATTCATCTGTTAGACCAGTTCCGGGCTCGATTCAACGCGTAATTAAACATTCTCATTTTTCCAGACAATGATACGACCTTGCGAAAACAACGCTATTCATCATGTTTAGAAATAAGTGTTTCAATTTCCACAGTGGACATGCCCACCATATCCAGAACGCCAAGTCGCGTGGCGCTTGGCTCATAAGCGGAACTCCGGTGCTTCAATCTAACTGGAAACGACCCATCGTTCATAATACTCAGCTCGTGCGGTTATCTGCGCTAGCCTACTCCGTACATTGCTACGGAGTACAGATTAACGGTCTCATCCATCCCCAAGAATACCCCGCTCAAATTTGGGCCAAGTAATCCTTCCCGATAGTCTGGGTTGGGGGCGACAAGATGGGTTGGTGGGGCGAGAAACGGTGGAGAGGCTGACGGGGGTCGTGCTGCATTGATTCCGGTCCCTGACGAGTCCCTGACAAGGCACTTGTCAATGTCATTATCAAGCGCCAGGGCTTACGAATGTGGCTTTTGAAGAAAAGAAAAAATATATTAATGTACCGGAAATAGGCATACGGAGAAGTGGATCGTCTCCGCGCAACGGAGGCACCGGAATGCACCCGGAGTGCACACTATATGTATAATGTGCATAGATGGATGAATCAAATTCTGGGCGAAGGGAATACAATTATTGAACTCCTTGCTATTTTGCCGCATTTGCCACCAATAAGTAAAATAAAGTACAATAGATCTACTTGGGCGCATATGACAGTTGACATATGACGATCTCTTATCTTGTTACTAAAGATAAGCCCAAAGCCCTAGATTGGCTAACAATGAGTTCAAGACATTTCTACTTGTAACAAGGTACTTAGAAAGTGGCATGCCCCTAGTGCTTCCTATTGGGATAACTCAACTTTAAACTCGAACTACCATCTGATTCTCTGGGCTATTGAACAGTACCCTCCTTGCCGTCGAGATAAGCCCCTCCACCAGTAGGCGCCCATTATTTCGTTCTTCCTTTTGACACGCGTGGGGCCATGGGTATTGACAGCCGCATTGTCCAGAATGACATGGTTCGTTATATTAAAACTCGGCTCCCCCAGTTATGTTGGATCTGCAAACGCTTTCTGCAGGTCATGCCAGCATGTCTCAGTATGAACACAACTCACTATGGTGGCCCGAAGAGCGTATCAAATCTACCCTCGACGCAAAGTACATCGTCGGTCGTCTGCGACCAGAGAATGTTCCCCGTCTCTTTGAATTACCGGACTGGGGTGAAGGTTTAACCAGTGAGACGTACATGGAATGGATTCTCACCAAAGCCGGCCGTGTTTTCATGATCCTTGATGCTATCGGCATTCCCGATCGGATATTCGCGCTAGTCGACGAATCCTGTGACGATGATGATCTACCCGTCGCGGAACATAGCATCGATTTACTACATTTATCCCCCGATGGAGAAGATCTGGCTCTCGAGGCGAGTTTCTTTCATGCGCAATGGCGCTTCTTGGTCCGTGGGATAGATGAGGGAGACCATGTCGTCTATACCGAGAATGAGGGCGTTCCGGTCGAGGCCGTACGCACCAACACCAGCAGCGGAATACACGGACGTGATGATACGGTAGACAGGGTAGTCCTCGCCGGCTCGGTCTGTCGTGTCTACATGCGAACCCAAGTGCAAGTTGGCGGTGCACCGCATTTCTTCTCTGCTGATGAGGTTCTTGATGAGATCCGCAACTTGAAAAGGCTGTCACACGAGCATATTGTCTCTGTCTTCGCCTCATATCTGAAAGACGACAGCGTCTCGGTGCTTTTCACGGGCGCCACAGCAGATCGAAACCTACACAGTTTCCTGACAGATGAGCCGATGTCCTTCAAACGGCTAGAAAAAGAGCAACGTCGTCAGATCTTGATCACCTGGCCCCACTGCCTTGCATCTGCAGTCTCCTGGCTGCATGCACATGGCCACTCCCACGGCGCAATCCGCCCATCCAACGTCTTCATCGGCGCAAACTTTGACATTTGCCTCGGTCAATTTCAAGCACTCGACTCCCTCCTGACACCACCACATGTCAACGATCTTGAGGCGTATAACTACTCCGCCCCAGAGCGCTGGACGCGTCCTGCAGCTCCCGTCATCCCGCAAAAGCCAGCACAGCCCTCACAAACACTCCTTCAATCCGGAGGACGTACAAAGCGCAGACAACGACCAACCCGTCTAGCTCTAGCCCCATTGAACGAAAGCCCACCGGCATCTCCAGACGGTACAAGACCAAACTCCGCCGCCTCAAAGGGCACAGTAATCCGCATCGGGGGTCTACCAGGTTCACCGACCCGCTTCTCCTTCGCCTTCTCATCCTCTTCTTCATCCTCGGAAGCCTCCTCGGCAGCGTCATCAGCCCGCACAGATGCCACAGCAACGTCCCCGCAACCAATGAAGCACCGCATCACATCCTTCTGGTCCCGAAGAAACAAAAATCCCCCCTCAGCCCCATCAATAATCTCAACCTCAACATCCTCCTCCTCAAACACATCAACCATAACCTCCCCAAATCCCCACCCCTCCCCTTCATCCGCCCTCTTCCCAATCCCACCATCCTCCCTCCGCCACTCCAAATCCGCTCAATCCCTAACATCCTTCACAAGACCCCCAACCTCCCACACCTCACACACCTCACACACCTCCTCTGACCCCCAACCAAACCCCCACACCCCAGCAGACATCTTCTCCCTCGCAGCAATAACCCTCGACATCCTAACAATCCTACACAAAAGAACCCTCACATCCTTTAGCACGCACCGCAGCGCCCGGAACCGGTCCGCCGGCCGCGGCGGCGGGATAGCAGATGCATCCTTCCATCTCGCGCGGAATGCCGTGCAGGTTCAATCGTGGATTGCATTGCTCGAAGGCGATGCCTTGAAACGTTGTCGACGGGATCGACGCTCTGATCGTGCGTTCTGGGCTGTGCCGAAGATGTTGATTGTTGTGCGGTCCATGCTTGATTTGGAAGGTGGGAAGAGGCCGCTTGCGAAACGCGTTCGCAGGGGGTTTGCGGATGCTATTGCCCGCGGACACGGTGGGGGGGATAAGGATGGCATGCCGGGGTTGCATTGTGTTAAGGAGAAACGGGGGAAGGAGGGGGCGATGAAGGGATCTAAGGAGAAGGAGAAGGAGAAGGAGTGGGGACAGAAACAGGGGAATGAGGGGTTGGAGGTTATTCGAGAGACGGGGGTTGGGAGGAGTGCTTTTTCTGTTGTTTCTTCGGCTGCGATGGGAGTTTCTGAGTCTGACTCGGTTTGCGGGTCGGTTTCGGAGTTTGATTTTGGGTTTGGGGATGCTGGAAGTGAGAGTGAGAGTAATGTTGAGGAGGGGGAATTTGTTGATTTTGAGATTGAGGAAGATGATATTTCGGAGTTTGAAGAGCCGGAGATACGAGTGGAACAGGTCTCTCCTCAGCTGTATCTGCCAGAGTTGGATATGAACATTACTGGGATAGAAGGGTTGACGTTTCATAAGTAGATGGAGATGTACGATAGTGTCTTGATGGTCTAATGACCGGGTTCTTTATGCAGCACTAATAATTCATTTCTTGTGTACACTTACTTCATGCTTCGTGAAAAGACAGACCTAACATAACCAGTACGCCGACTCCAATATATCATGCAGTGGCTTAGCCGAACTCGTCTATCCCAAATCTGCGATGCTATCAATACAATGGCTTGAGCCGCAATCGTCAAGGGTCGAGTATGAAGAAAACAATAAAATCAAAGCCAGATGGCAACGGCACCCAGCAGACCAGACAGCACTAAAGATCCAGCGAGCAAGTGCTCAGTAACTGGCGAGCCGACAGTCACAAAGTGCGCCGTGCCTTCCTTTGTTGCCGATGCAGAGACGGATCCGCTTGAGTTAACGTTAGTAGCCTTGCTGTTCTTACCGGTCGCTGTGGAATCAGATCCCTTCTTAAAGGTCTGTCCCAAGGTAGGAAGCGGCGAGCTTGGGTCAACTGCCCATCCACCAGAGGTCGAGGCAGGGCACTCAATGGCGGTGAGGCTGGATGTGCTCTTGCGGTAGGCGGAAAGGGCAACTCCGGTCGGGTGCAGAGTAGCCCACTGAGACTTGAGGTTGTTAAAATCAGGCGACACGGGCGTCGGTGTGCCCTTGCGGGTAAAGCCATCCTCGATGCTGCTCGCGGTCGCAGTCGCAGCGTCGACAGAAGGTCCATAGCTGATCAACCCATAGTCGTTGGTCTCCTCGATCCACTCGTAGATAACGGATCCAGACCAAGTATCAGACATGTGCTCACCAAAGATGGCAACCTGGTCCTCAAAGGTGCGAGGCGAGGGGGTGTTGCAGCCAGTCTCGGAGAAGAAGATAGGGATAGGGTAGTCAGTCGCGTTCTTCTGCAGAATATTGTATCCAGACTGTTCATAGCTGGACGCACCGCACCATTCGTAGGCATTCAATGAGTAAAAGTCCAAGCGGTCGGGTGCATTCTTGGCACAGGCCATGTAGTTTTGCAGCATGGGTCTCAGATCGGCAATATCGGCTGCAGAGTAACCAACGGGGATCTCGCGATAGCCCTTCTTATCACGGTAGGCCTTGATATCGCGAGCAGCCGCCAAGACGTAGGGGGCAGCAGCCGAGCCATCGGCCGTGGTGAGAACTTCATTTCCGACCAAGACACCGGCAGTGTTGTCGAACTTTTGGAATTCGTCGAGCACCTCCTTGAAGCGGTCAAACTGGGTCTGATTCCAGTGAGGCTCATTCTACGATCGTCAATAGACGATCCACATGAAGAGAAAGTGGACCTACCTGTTCGATCTGGGTATTGAAAGTGTCCAAATCGACGAACAAGTGGATTCCTAGACAACCGCGATTAGTACGCATAATTACCCTGTAGAGTGGAATCAATCATACCAGCATCGGCGAGCGCCGACATACAGCCCTTGTGATCAGCATGGGGATCCACGTGGTACACACGAATCGCATTGGTGCCCAGCTCGGACATTCGAGCGATATCACGCTTGCATTGGGCAGTATCGACAAGTGGGTCATTTGGGGTAAGCTGATAAGCAATGCCTAGTCAAGTCAGTCAGGGAATATACCTACAGTTTAGGATTTCTGGGTACCCTTGATGTAGAACTGGGTTCCGTTCTCATAGAAGAACTTGGAGCCGACAGCGGAAATGGGTGAGATTGCGCCCACTGCGGTAGCCTGTAAGCCAGCGAGTAGCAATGGCACTGTCGAAAATGCCAGGGATGACAACATGGTTAAATTCTGTGAAAGTAACAGTAAAATAGACGATGTGATGAAATAGCAATGGCTTGAAGAGAAGAACAGGCAAGTCTCTCAACTCTGGTATATACGTTGACGGCTCTTGCCCGGACAACGAAGGAATCAGGGCAGGTGCAAACCAAAAAGAAATTACGTCGACAATTTTGAGGGAAGAGGGAAAGTAGACGTGAAACATGAAAATAGCAAATCAGTTCCTTGATTTGGGACTGTAGCAACCAAATTATCTGCAGGGCGTTTATTTTCTAACTAGCGTGCTTCATTCCTGGCCTCATTTAGGACATTCCAGATCGTATTTTGGGGTGTTAACTAATCTTCAAGGTATACAGAGTACAAAGTAAAGTAATCAGTGCGTTAAGAGTACACAACATATCCAACTGGAGTACGGAGTACAGCTGGGCAACTTCAAATGCTGACTGTTGACTGTTGACTGTTGATTGTTGACTCCAGGGCTGTACCTGGCCCGTCGCCGTTGGGGCCCAGCCCTAATTCCCCATACAGATATCACACAATTGGAGTATGGAGTATGGAGTAAATCAAGACTACTCCGTATGGAGTACTGCAGATAAATAGGTACTCAAGTAGGTAGAAGATGTGCAGTCTCCAGTCTCCAGTCAATATTGAAATATTTAAAATTAATTTTTGTTCGCAAAGTCTGAAAATTCGTCCAATATTGTTGCCCCCTAACCCGGAATATACCGAGTTCCACAACACACCACGCCCCTATACTATAAATACTCCTATATTACTAGAAAAATAACATTACCTTGGAAGGCTTGAGACATGTCTATGCCAACTATTTATTGTCGCTATTACCATTGTGCCACGATGCCGGAGTATTGCCCCTCATCTTAAACCCTGTCAATCACTCCCTTCTATCCACTCTTACTGGACATGGAAAAGATAGTCCTTCAAAACCTGGCACACGGCAGCTCATCGATCGGCAGAGTATTTAATTTTATTTTCTTTCAGAAAATTTCTGTAGTTATTCGCATATGTATATGTATGTTGTAGTTATCTTTTGTTCATAGGATTGGGCAGGGATCGGGCTAGGAAGAAATCAAGGTCTCGTGGACCCCTAATGCATGTAACTTTGAATATAGCAATAACGCTAACAAGATGCGAAGTCTGTTTAAATTCCAGATTGCCACGTTACTCCACTGGGCGGTTTTCGGCGGTCGCCATCGGGGGCTAGAACGAGGTCCTTGCGAGATAAGGAGGTTAGGGTATTATGGCGAATATCTCAAGATTGATGGCAGATGGTGCAAAAAAAAAAGTAGGCCGCAAAAAATAACGTCGCATTCGTCTAATATCTATGTAATTGGGTGTGGTACCTCTTTTAAGTAGCAGATCTATAAACATCCCTTAACATCCTTGGAAGTGCAACAGTCCAGACTTCACTCCAATCTCCACTCCTCCACTTCCATTCCGACATGTCCACCAATTATCATCGTCACACGCACAGTGTTCGTCAGCTAGTGGATCCCTCCATTAGGATCGTCTGGGCTTTCCCTTGGACTTGTCACCAAAAAAGGGAGACTCTGTAAATGACGTTTCCGCAAAGGGGGGGGGGGGGGAGAAACACCACTATATTATCCAGCCCGCATCCGGCTCTAGATTATTTTTCTTTAATGGACTACTTCAACTCGGACCTATCCTGTACCTGGTTTTATCTATATCTCGACATGGTTCTATAAGCCCCTATACCATTATACCCGATCACACGATCACACGATCCACAAAAAAAATACCCGAGATACATACAATTCGACATATCCATCCACAATGGCCTCCCCGTTCCACATCACCCGGCACGAACAAGTCGAGCTGGAGCGCAATGAAACTTTCCGAGTAATGCGCGAACAGCTCCGCCGCCAGGAATGCGGTATGCAGCGACCGAGTTTCTGTACCGGCCATCGACACTCCTGCACCTCCATCGAACAAGAAAACTACCGCCTCCACCGCGATATCATCCACACCCTCCTCGTTCCGCTCTTCCTAATCAACCACCAAGCCGAGCGCATCGCCGCACGTACTCTCCCAAGCCAGAAAGGCGCCGAGCCCGAGCGCGCATTCCGCGGCGAAGCCCGCAGCGCCTTCGCCTGGCTGAACTGCATCCTCACCGAAGAACATGACTGGTACCTTACAGCCCGCTGTCCCGCCTGCATCGTCCAGCACGTGCTACACTCCGAGCCGACGATCCGATTCGTCGCCGTCGCCTCGCAGCTCGCAGGACCCCGCTCCAGCTTCCGGTGCTGGCTGAATGCCCTCGAGATAGCCGTCTGCGAAGATCCCTTCTGGGGCGATGCCTTCTGGCCAGATATCGAGGAGCGCGCATCCCGTTTAACTGACGGCGTGCAAGAGCTCGTCCGTCAGTGCTACGAGCTCAGCGCGACACTCGATAACCCGGCTCGTGTTAACCCGTCGCTCGCCAAGGCCCCCATGCCTGTCTACGGCAGTCGCTCCGCCTCCTGCACAATCCCCCTGAAGCCTTCTAGTTTCGCGCGGAAACAGCTCCGGCTCACGCGGGAGGAGCAGAGATACCGTTCCTCGCTTCTGTGGAATTGCTCGCAGGAGATGACACAGCCGCTGGCCGGCTGCACTACTGCGACTCAGTCTCGGCGTCGGTCCCTGACTTCATGAGGGAGATCTTTTGGGCTATGGTGGCGACTCTCGCTGCCATGTGCATTTCCTCTCAAACTCTCAACCAAACCGGATTCTCAACCGAACTGGTTGGTTAATTTACACCGCCGACCGGGACTGTTTTCCAGAATCAGCCCTTTGTTTGCCGATTGAAACCACTCGGGATTCAAGAAAGGTATCTACGGACCTTAGGAATTTACGTTGTGCAGAAAACCTTATCGGAGGATTTCGCGCATGTGAATTTCCCGATCTCATGGGACACATGGTACCTAGGTACTCCCCTGGCGTTCCACGCGATCGAGACCAGATTTTCGATATGCAAGGGTCTCCAGATTCGCGGAGTCCGCTGTGATGATGCAATCAGACCCAGAACCGTGGATGATTAAAGTATCCCATCTCGGGTCGATGGAGATACTCCATGGTTGAAGAATGCGTCGGTCTACATGGCCGACGGGAATGATGTGATTTGTCGATCAGGTCGGATTACAGTGATTATACCTATATGTAGGTGGTGATTGTATGATAGTATAATTTTAATCATAATCTACTTTTTTTTCCCTCGACCATGGTTCCTATCGTGTAAC